CCCCCCCCCCCCCCCCCCCCACCCACAAACAATCCCAATTAAAATACAAAAAAAAAAAACCCCCCCCCCCCAATTAAAAACCATCATACACCAACCAGGCACCAAAACAAACAGCCAACTGCCCATGTGTTGGGCTCAACTGAACTCAAAGAGAGTAGAGGCCTGCTGGATCACAGGATGAAGGCTGTTCCATAGAGTGGGCACCACTCCCTGGGAGACATGCTTCCTAAGCCCCACCAGATGACACTGTTTGATAGAGGGGACCTGTCAGATCTGGTGGGACAGGCGGATTCCCTCAGGAAGAAGTGATACTGCACGTAGCCTGGCCCTGTGCCATTCAGGGCTCTAAAGGAGATAACCAGCATCTTGTATTGCACCTGGAAGGTAACTGGGAACCAGCGCAATAGAGACAAACCCCTGCATTCTGGACAGGTCTGACACTTCCGGCTGGTTTTTAAGGGCAGCCCCATGTAGAGTGCATTGCAGTAGTCCAGCTGGGAAGTCGGTAAGATATGAGTGACCGTAAACAGTGGCTCCCAGGCCAGGAATGCATGCAATTGGCATACAAGATGGATTTGTGCAAAAGCCCCCTAGCCATGGCTGCCACTTGCTCCTAGAACAGAAGCTACAAGTCTGGGAGGACCCCCAAATTGTGCATCAACTCTATTCTGTCAGTGTTAAAGATGATAACTCTCCAGATCCAGGGGACCCAAAGACCCGGAGCTGCTCCATCTTGCTAGGGCTGAGTTGCAACCAGCTCTTCCCCATCCAGATTCTCACAGCTTCTAGGCTCTGGGTAAGCACCTGAATGGCATCACTAGTCTGGCCTAGGGTGGAGATGTACAGCCGAATATCATCAGCAAATTGATGATCCTGCATCCAATGCCAATGAACGACCTCACCCATCTCAAACTCCCCAACCCATCCCATCAAATGTGGGAGAAACAAAACCCCAACACCCAGTGCTTTTACCTAGCATTTAGTGCCTGTGGCTTGGACAACTCACCTGCCTCTCACCCCACATTCCAACCAAACTCATCTCTATCCTATCCCCTATTCAGCTCTCTCCCGAATTGTCGGGAAAAAGCTCACATTCAACAGGCTAGGTAAGCAGGACCCATCCCCTTCCTCCTCTCTTCCCTCAGAGGGGTAAGTTCGGTTCATCTTCACCCAGTCCCAAAACAGTCCCAGTTGGGGATCACCAGTCTCGTTCTTTTTCCTCAAGCTGCCAGAGTCCACGGTGTAATTCCACTGGGTTTGCTAAAGCTCCTCAGCAACAGGGCAAGTCCCATCCTTCCAGTCCTGAGTCCCAGGAAGATGGGGAGACCACAGAAATGGCTGCTGCACCACATAGCAAACAGCAGCTCTAAAATAAAATAAAAACCCTGGTCTTACCCTGAAGATCTATTTTCTATAAGTGGAGACAGCACGTCCAGTCTTACCCAGGCCTTGGCAGGAAAAGGGGAAAATGTGTATTATAGGGTATTGGCATCTGCAAATAATTGTACAGTATCACATCTCTCTCCTCCCTTTCTTAGCTGTTCTTTCCTTGGCTTGTCTTTCTGCCATGTCATTCCCAAACTGGGGAAGAAATTGTCCCTCCTACCCCAGAAACAACATCAGGACCTTTTCTGCCTCTGCAGAAAATGGGAGTGAGATTCTGTCGAAGCTCTGTCTGAAAAATAAACCTTCCCGTGTCTGTTCTCTCTCTCCTAGATAGAGGACCCCAGCTGTGAAGGTTAGGTGGAAACTGTCCACTCTGAGGCTTTCCTCTGCCGTGGGACTGGAGGTTAATCAGGCATGGGGACTTGGAAGGTTAGGAACAGCTCAGAGAAAATAAGGAGGTATTTGCGGCTGCCCACTTGGCTACATCTTCTGCCGCATGTGGAAGGGTCTCCTGAAGAAAAGTCTTGGCAAAGGCCCTGAAGAGCTCCTCGCTTAGAATAATGTTCTCCAATCTCAGGCTTTTTAGATGTGGTGAATTATAACGCAAAATCCTAATGGAACGGAAGTGAGAGGTTTCCTGGAGCTGGTTTGCTTTGTTTGTATGGGTTTGGTCCAGGCACTTTTTGAACTGCTATATGCGATCCCATTTTCCACCACTGCAATCTTTGCATGGTTTTTCATATTCTCTGGTCTTTCTTGGATACTTCGGTTGTGACATGGAGCTATGCCTCTTACTGAGCTTATTCCATGCTACACCTTTCCAAGGAAGTCCATTTCGTTAGAGGCCGCCCTGTGCCGTGGAGGTGGGAGGTTGGGAGTAGAAGAGTCTTTCGGCTGCAACTTCTCGCCCCAGCTGATGCCAACATGTGTGAAAGAAATTACAGCTGCAGCTCCAGAGTCTGGATGGCTCAGAGACTACAAATTACCCTAAGACCGGGCTCCCCAGACAGCCAAGGAGAATGAAACCCAGTCGCCTTAAAAGTCGGGCTATGTGCCGAGCGTTGACCTCAAGCTGCCAGCAGACACTGTGCTTGGTGCCTCGTGGGTGGCCGCCTCTCCTCTCGTTTTATTTTACATTCTTTGCTAAAATGAATGCGAGGCAGGCTGGCACACTCTCAAGCAAGTATAGCCCCCATACTTGGGCTCACCTGCTTTTCTAAGAAAACCTCATTGGCATGCTTAGGAGAGGAAATGGTGGCAGCTACAGCCCCCTTTCATTTGGAAACAGGAGGGAAAAAAGACAGGAGCTGGAGGGGTAGAAAGCTACCTTGGAGACCTAATTTTGGGAGGAAGCCCCAGATCTGCTGAGAATTCCAATATGCCCAGTTGGCTCCAAAACGGCCTCCACCCTGATGAAAAGACCCCTCCGGGACAGCCCGCCTTGATGTGTCTTTGAAAGTGGTAAAAAGAGGAGGGGGCTTCTTCAACTTTACCTCTGATGAAAAATATTGGGGGTATCTCACTTCATTGCCCCTCAGCAGCCACCGTGTCTGGGCTTCTCTGCAAACCTGGGTGAACCTTGCATCTGCAGCTCAGCTTCTGGAACTGGCTGCTGCTTCCTTCTTCAGGAGCTACCTTTCGCTGGCCGTCGGGGGGCAGCTCGGTCAGTCGGTCTCTCTTCTGGGGGTTGTGCTCACGGCCTGAGCATATTTCTCTGCAACTTCGCCCTGCCTCCCTTTTAATAAGTCCACTGCTCCGGCTCACAAGAGGTGATTGGCTGTGCAGTGGGATATCTCCGAACAGTAGGGAAGAGTGGCTTCAGGCTGTGCTTTTCCTGTAACGATGGGCCACTGGCTGTGCAATTGGGTGTGGCGCATCCTGGTGGGCTGGAGTCAGAAACAGGGGCATGGGAAGCACCAGCCCTGAAGGACGTCTGTCCACATCAGACAAGAGCCGGAGCAGACTCACTTCAGGGGACCTTTTCTGGGACAAGCACAAAATTACTTGGGCATCGTGTCTCCCAATCCTTCAGTTAGGTTGGGTGTTGATAATTCCATTTGGGAGGGGCAGAATTAGGCATTTTCTCTTGGAGCCTCAGTCATGAGTTCACTCCCTGAGCTTCCACGTGCAAATGCAGCATCTTAGCGCATCCATCCTCTCGGCCCTCTGCAAGCCTTGCATTCCGCAGGCCTGGCTGGAGCGCGAGGGTGCTCTGGGGAGTGAGCGCCCTCCAAGTCTGCCTCTCCTTAGGGCTTTCTGTTCCTGAACCTGATCCGCTTGCTGTTCAGCAGCCTCTCCAGTGTTCATGCACCACTGGCAGTTTAGGGCAGATTTGAACCGGTTCCCTTCATTGAAGCCGTGGTGATGCTGCCTCTGTGGCACATCCTTGCCAAGCCTCCATCTCTGATGGAAGCTGTTGCCTGCGTGTGGCCCTGCTGGTGCTGGTGCTGGTGCTGGTGCTGGTGCTGGTCGGAGGGGCTGCCGTTCCAGCTCCAGCTGGCTTCTCTTTGGCGGTGTGGCAGGAGGCAAGGCCCAAGGCGGTCCGCTTGGTTGAGCCACTATGTTCTTGCAGCGTTGCGCCCCTGCTAGGCCTGTGTGGCTCAGAATGTGGAGGAATGCCTGGAGGGAGCCTGTGCTGCCACTGCCCCCCCTTGCCTTGACGCTGCCGCCACCCCACCCCATCCCTCTGCCTCTGCTTGGAAGCTGATGTTGCGCAGTGCTGCCTGTTGGCTGATGCCGCCCTTCTCTTCTGTGTGGCCTCCTTTTGCATGTGGCGGATGTTAACCGTGTGCATGTGATTTGTGACTCATCTCCCAGCCCTGCTTTTCCGTTCCAAAATCCTCTCCCTGCCTCCAGCCCGGGCTGGGAACGGAGCTTCCTTGTTCCACTTGGTTGGACGCTCTGGGTGGGCTTCTCTCCCTTCTGGTCGCAATGCCTGCGCGCTTCTGTTTTGCTGCTGTCGTTGCCAGCCCTGACCTCTGTGACCACCCTCCAAGAAATGTGCTATGGCTGCTGCAATCTCTGACCTGCTGGTGGTTCCCCTGGGAATCAGAAGAGGCCACGGAATTGGTGCCGACACACCAAATGCCTTTTTTGCTTGCTTAGCTGAGTGCCCATCTGGCACTGATCTGGCCACAGAGGGTGACTGAGCTGCGGCAGCGTGTCCATCTCAGTCCGGACCTCAGCTTAGGACCCAATCCAGGCCGGTGCCCCCTTTCTGGAAGGGGGCAGACTCAGTACCAGTGGCTCCCATGCTTCCAACTAGACGTGCTCCTCTCCCACCTGGGCAAATTGCATCCCTCTCCCTCAATTGGACCGCAGTTCCCCCCCAGCTGCATTAGCCATAGCCAGAGGAGGCTTCTTTTGTGAGCTGGCTGCTGCCAGGGACCCTTCCTGAGATGAGTGCGCTTGATTTCCAGTTCCCCAGAGGCTGCATGTGCTTCTCATCCTGCCAGTGTGCTGCATTTCTCGTGTTGCGATTACTTTTGTCTGTCCCTCTGTCCTCCCAAGATGATCACCGCAAGTATGGCCCGAGGTGGGATGCAAATAAGACCACGGTTCCCGCCTGCCACCGGTGTCTCTGCCACGCCTCCAAGCACCATACCTTTGGGTGGACAGCAAATGCCTCAGGTACTTAACAGAACTGATTGGGTTGTGGCTGGGGGTTTGCGCGAGGGTTGATTTGATTGACCGGTCATCTGCCACCTTTGACCTGCACGTGGAGCAGCTGCTGCGGGTGGCCTCGAATGACCGAGGGAATGGGCTTGTCTGGGAGTTGATACAAGGCTGCAGATCAGGTCTCTCGAATTGGAGGGGAGCGGAGAGAGAAACAGCACGTGCTCCGCTATTATCTGTGTTTGATGACTCTGGAGGAGGCCGCAGACACGGCCAATTTGTTTGCTGGTATGTGGCTGAGTCCTGGAGGGAGAGAAGGGCCATTTCCATCCAGGGGTGTGATGGGAGAGGGAGCCTTTCCCATCCTGGTTGTATATTAATGTTGTTCCTCTGCCCTAAATAATGGGTCCAGTCATGTTTGGATTCCCTCCTTTATCATCTTTATCTTCTCTTAAAAACCGGAATTGAGCCCATTCCCCCAAGATCTGGCATCAATGGTCCTGTGGTCCATTTTAGAATTCTAATAGGTTGGAAGGAAATCAGAAGAGAACTTTGTATATCAAACTTATTTCAAATTCCTGAAGCAAAAAGAGCAATTTTCTCAGCTTTTATCACTTTTGCATTTCTGCTACATGGTCCAAATCTTTGCAGAAACTGCACATCAGAGATTTGTTTTTCCATTGTATCTACCTATCTATGTGGGTGTGGGTATCAGGGTGGGGGAAAGAAATAGTTCCAAGAATGATCACCCAAGATCAGCATCCAAGTTGGTGGCTTTGCATCCAGGTTTGCTTCCTCTTATCTATATTCAGTGTTTGGTTGGCTGTATCATGTTATGTCATTAAAAAGCTGGGAAGAGTCTTGTTAACTTGGCTGTTTCTGTGTACATTTCTCCACATTTCCCTTTGTACGACTTCCCAAGGTTGCTAACCAGTAGCTGCCTTTACTGACTCCTGCTTTGGGTCAGAATGACAGCACCCCCTTTTCCCAGTATATCTCTCTTCTGCTTTTCCTGCTGTTTGATCCTGCTGGTGGTATTTGTTGAAGAATTCCCGTCTGTAATGTGTGCTGAGACCCTCGCATCTTCTACTGCATTCAGGTTTCAAGGTTTGAAGCATTTACCTTATTTCGCTAGATCTGCCTGGTTCACCCACTCGCAGCAATCCTTCTCTCTTCATGTTCTAATGGTTATTCCCATTTTACCAGGCAGAACTGAAACTTGAGATCAAGCAATGAATTGCATAGCTTCAGGGCCCTGGACTGGTAGTGAAAGTGACCCCGACACAGTACAAATCTAGGGAGAGACAAGATCATGTTCATGTTTAGTCATCTTTTGCTGACAAGATGGCAGTAGGTCTTGAAAGCCACTTTTGACCTGTAGCAGAACTCACGTTTGACTTACCCAGCAATGCGTCAACCTGAAACATGGATTTAATCCACGTCTCCGTGCAGCCCACTGGGTTAGCTCAGTGGTCTGTGTGGCAAGGTGGGCTTCTGGTTGATAAAAGCACTGGTGGGCCTCCATGGCGTTTCCATTCCTCGGGATCTCTTGGCAAGCCCTGGGGCCTCCCACCAGTCCTACTTGCAGAATCTTCTGACTGGCTGGCGCTTGATGCCTCATCGATGCTGTAGCATCTCTGCCAAGTCTGACGTCTGAAAAACTCCATTCTCCTCTTTTGGGCTGGGAAAAAGAGCCGTGTGCCTCTGAATTCCAGCCTCTCCTCTTTGACAGCTTCCTTTGCAGCGCCGCTCCTGACCAATGGCATAGTCACAAGGTAGAGATGGAAGACAGATCTGTTCAGGGACGGCATCTTGGCTTTTGGTCGTGAAAATTGCTTTCTATAAAGGCAGCTAAGACGCCTAAATGATGAAGCTTCTAATTTGAACATACTTTGCATTCAGAACAACCAAGGGAAACATCTGCATCCTAGGCTTTCATGTAATATTCAGTGGGTTACAATCCTGAGATGAAACATCAAAAGTTAACATTGGTATGTTTGTAAGTCCAGGCTGGAGGCCAATACAAAGGAATTAAGGTCTGTGGAAAGCTGAGCCCCTTGGCATTTTGCCGGGGCAGTGCACAGACATTACACTCTGGTATAAATAGGGGTGGGTGGCACTGACAAGATGCCCCAGGCTCTGGGCTTTTTCTGGCTGGCTTATCTTTATCCTTATCCCCAAGGGTCCTCTGCACAGATGCACCCTTAGTTGTCCATGAAGCCTCAGCGGTGCTGGAGCTGCATCTCCCCCAGTTGCAGATTATGAGGGGTACATGGAAGCGGCTTTAAAAAAAAATGGATAGGTTCTGGTGACCTTAGGCCCCCAGGAGAGGTAATTTTATATGGCTGCCCAATTAGCAATCTGCTAATTGGACAGCCATATAAATCAGCTAACTAAAGGCTATCCACTTTCTAATGTCCGTTTATCCTAGTAACTCTCAGATGGATTACTCTGAGACCTGCTCTTAGAGAAGTACAGTGAAGTCATAGGAAAAATAGATTTGGCCAGCTTTCTCACTCTTAAGAGGATTTGCAATCTTTGCTCTGTTCTCTTTGTCTTGCTTTTTGCAGCTGAGGAAGTAGTTCAAAGCCCCCTAGTAATGTTGAGGTTCAACTATGCTTGAGTGAACACTAAGATGCTGCCTGCCTGTGGATCTCTGCCCCAAGACCAAACATCGAGAGGCTCTTTGAACCCCTGACCTCTTTCCCTGCTGGCCCAACCGCTGTGCCCCAAATGCTCTGCAGAGTCTTCTCTTGCCGAAGATTGTTTTTCTCTTCCAGGTCAGCCAGAGTAGCATCGCAGTGATGTCTTCTCCTTCACCAGTCCAGCAAGCTCAGACACCCCAGCCGATGCCTCCCCCACCTCAGCCACAACCCTCTCCTCAGTCTGGGCAGCCCAATTCCCAGCCCAATTCCAATGTCAGGTAAGCCTTCAGGACACCCTAGAAAAGGTTAACTCTTGGTGTCTGGGTCCTGGTTTGGGGAAAAGAGCAGCCTCCCTCACATGAAATATCTTCCTTCTCTTTTAGTTCTGGCCCAGCCCCATCTCCCAGCAGCTTTCTCCCCAGTCCATCTCCACAGCCTTCTCAGAGCCCAGCAGCTGCACGAACACCACAAAATTTCAGTGTCCCATCTCCAGGGCCGCTCAACACACCAGGTAACTTGCATCAAGCTTAAGTGAGCAGAGGCTTTTTTGAAAGAAAAAAAAAAACGTTTCCATGGTGCCTTTCTTCAGAACTAGGGTTTCTTGGCAGGAACCAACCTAGGGTGTGTTTCTTTTTGACCTGGGCAAGGTCAGAGAAGGTGGCACAATGCCCTTGGGAGCTCTTGAAAGCTGCATGAAGTTGTTACTAAACAGTATTTTAATATGATAGAGGAAATTACTACCTAATGACAGGAGACTAGTCTTATTTAATATCTCCGTTTAATTAAAACGAAATCCAGTTTAAGTTTCTACCAGATGGCTCTCCTCGTGCAGCTGGGGGTTGTGCAATGGGTGAACACTGTTGCATACACTGGATGTTGTTTTCTCTTGTGCCGATAGTGCCTGTTCCAGGACGAGGTCAACCCTTTGTTCCCTGTCCTGAATCCTCCAGAAGGAGCCGGGGGGGGGGGGAAGGGGGGGGAAGTTAAGCAGGGGGGGTTCGGGACTGTTGCTCTTCTTAGCCAGCTCCTGCCTGATTGAAGTTGTTGTTTTTTGGCTTCCAAGGCAATCCCACCTCGGTCACAAGCCCGGCTAGCTCCAGCCAGTCTGAGGAACAGCAGTACCTGGAGAAACTGAAGCAGCTGTCAAAGTACATTGAGCCTCTGCGGAGGATGATCAACAAGATAGATAAAAACGAAGGTCCGTGTCTGGGGGTGGGAAGGGAACTGTTGAGCCCCTCTTCCAGCTGTACAAGGAGTCTCTGGGCAGGATGCGTTGCTCTTCCTCAACAGCCATTGAGAGATCCTTGGGTGCATGTGGGCATGAATCTTGTGGGTGGACCCCGAGAGCATCTGCCCGTGATCTGAAGTCACAGATTCTCATATTCGGGGATCTTTTAGAACCAGGTCTGGGTGTCAGCCGTGTCTTTTTCATTGTCAGATATTGTTCAGCTTGGGAAGTTAAGAGGACGAAGCTGGATAATAATTACTTGGAGATAGGCAGAGGTGTGTTCTGTGGCTGTGAATGTGTCCTTGGTCTTGAATGAACAAGGTCCCATTCCAAGGCAGCCGTCTAAGCCCTTTGCAGCCATCTTGACTTCTGCATGGCAGAAAGGAGGTGACTGTCTGCTGTGTGCTCAGGCTGAACGTCTTTTGTTGCCACCCGCTGCTGAAAAATTCATGAGGCAGGTTTCCAGGCTGCTTTTTCTGACCTGGAAACTGGTTTATGTAAGCAGCAGTTTTCTGCTCTCCGGCACTACCTTGTCCCTTTTTTCTTTGTCACAGTCTTTTACAATTTTATTATAATTGCATTATTGTAGTTGTGCTTTCTCAAATTTGGCTCCTTCACAGTCTCAACCCCAAGGGAGATCTATACAATCCCACTGAAGACCTGATCTTTTGAGGCGGTGGAACGGTGGGCTTTCTTTTTAAAGCCAGGCCTCTGATGATGGGTTTACTGCCTTCGCTGCCGTTTTTTCTGAATACAGCCTTGGTTGTGTTTGGGGTATTTCCACACTGTTTTCTTTTTGAGTTCCCCAATGAAGGAAAAGGGATACAAAGCTAACAAGCAGAACAGAGATTGCCACCCTTGTTTTTTTTCTGACCAGCTGGGCATCATTGCTTTTTTCCATTCAGACAGGAAGAAGGACCTAAGCAAGATGAAGAGTCTCCTGGATATTCTGACAGATCCTTCGAAGCGGTAAATTTATTTAATTATTTATTTATAAGTCACATTTATATAGCCGCCCATCTCACACAAACTCTTGGTTTATGCACATTTCCATCAGTTGGCTGCTGCTGCTTTCCTTTCTTGGAATCCTGACTCTGTCTGGCTCTGCTCTTCTGCTGGGGTTCCAAGCACTGATCCTCCTGCTTCTTGTAACTATGGGCATCCATTGCACGATGGGTCGCAAACAAAGTCTCACATATGTTATGAACAACTTCCAGCCCATTTTAAGTTTTGTTCTTCTCAGCCTCATGTGCCTGCTGAGAAGCAGGGACCACATTCACTTCCTCGGAGACGGCCAGCTGAACAGCCTAGCTTCCCTGGTCGTGGCTGTTGTGGCTTTGGCCGAGCTGATCTGAGGAATGTGTGCGTGGTCCCATTTTCCCCAACCGGGAACTGCCTGCTCTGAGATTCCCTTCTTTCCTTCATAGCTGTCCTCTGAAAACTTTGCAGAAATGTGAAATTGCTCTGGAGAAGCTCAAGAATGACATGGCCGTGGTAAGTGAAGGGAGAGGAATTTTCTCTTCTTTTCCATATCGTTGTGGGCAGCACATACATTCCTTTATCCAAAGATTCCTCAGAGCCTTGGATTCTGCACTTCGGGGGCAAACGAAGATCCAGGTGAAAAAACTGTGGCTAAGCATAGGCCAAATCCTGAGGCCTCAGTGCTGAAAGAGGGGCAGATGTGCAAGGAGAGAAGGCAGGCGGGAATTTGATCAGTAGCTGGTTAGCCCAGAGCCAAGCAGAGGATGACGGGTTGGGGTCGAGGCGTGCAGCAAGGGAACCAATCTGATTGGAAAGATTTGTATTCTGGTTTCATCTTGATCATATTTGCTGATGAAAGGAAAGGGGGGGAAACTGATCTCCCCGGAGTATCTGAACTTAATCAAATCAATAGAAGAATGGTCAAGAAACAGACCTGGCATTTCAGTTGCCGTTTTCTTTTTGCCTGAGAAAGTTTATGACCTGAGCAGATACAGGTAGCAACCAAAGTGTTTGGTACACATACGTGTAATTGGTGTTTGTTGTATGCCAGCCCACCCCTCCCCCCCCTGCAGTGCCTCCCACAAAACAGCAGTATTTGTGCCAACCATTGCTGGATGCAGTCCTTGCAAATATCCGCTCACCAGTCTTCAACCATTCCATGTATCGAACTTTCATGCCAGCTGTGACTGCCATCCATGGCCCTCCTATCACGTATGTATCATTCTTTGATTCTAATGACATAGCAAGCAGATTTCAGATGTGGGAAGGTTCAGGAACACATGTATTTATTTCTTACAGCGGTGCTTAAAAGTTTGTGAACTTGTGAAACCTTTTGAATATTTATGCATAAATATGACCTAAAACGTGATCTGTTCTTGTAACACACACTCCCAGGTTTGGCTTACGGTCACTCACTCACACACTCACAGCCTATTGAGACACATGGATCTTGTAAGCCCCCTTGCTTTCAACCTGGGTTTTTCAGATAGGGGTGGCTAGATCAGACAAGACACACAGTCCTTGGCAACAGCCGGGAAATAATTAGGGACACACACACCACTTTCAACCGAACACTGAGGCACATCAGGTTCTTTGGAACACACAGAGACCCAGTGAATTTAAAGTAGCAGCAAAACACTGTACATTTGCTCTTTCTCACACACACACAGATGCACACTCATCCACACTTACCCACGCCCTTCTCAGCTAGGCTGCCAGGCACTAGCTAGAGGGACAGAAGCCTCCAAGTCTGGATCCAAAGACGACTCAGGAGTGGGCGGGCTTCAGGATCCCTTTCATCCCCCAAAGCTATTGCTTTGTTGATTAGCTGGGATTGGGGGTGATTTCCATGTGCTCAGGCCCAACTTCCTTTGTCTGGTTCGGGTGACTTTTTTTTTTCTTGTTCCCTTCTTATCTGCCTCCCCGAAGGGATCTTTCAGACAAGGTTCCTGGCTTTTTGTCCTCTCTGCTTACGTGCCTGCTTGATCTTTAGTTATGGCAGCTTCAGCCTCATCTCACATTCTCCACACATGTCCTAAAACTAGATAAAGAGAACCCAATTAAAGAAATGAGGCAAAAACATCATACTTGTTCATTTATTTATTGAGGAAAATGATCCAAAGCTACATTTAATTAGTTCTCTTTGTCTAATTTTAGGATAACAGATCACATTTTAGGTTATATTTATGCAGAAGTATTGAAAATTCAAAATGGTTCACAAACTTTTAAGCACCGCTGTAATTAAAGTGTCCACAGCTTAGTACAGGTAGTCCTCACTTACCGACTGCTCATTCAGCTTCTGTATGAAGTTACAGTGGCAGTGAAAAAGGAGATTTATGACCAGTCCTTGAACTTGTGGCAATAGCAGTGTCCCCACGGTCACGTGATCACAATCTGAGTGCTTGGCAACAGGCATGTATTTACAACAGTTGCAATATCCTGCGGTCACGATTGCCATTTGCAAACTTCACAGCCAGTTTCTGACAAGGAAAGTCATTGGGGAAGCCAACAGGAAGTCACAAGTTGCAGTCACGTTTCACTTTATGACTACGTCACTTAGCGGCAGAGTTGCCAGTCCCAATTGCGGTCAGTGAGGACTACCTGTGTCTTAGTATTTGCTGCAACAGACTAATGAAGCTATTGTCCTGAAAACTGTTGAACTTGTTCAGCATATTCTCATTTTTCAGATCAACTATCACTTTCTTTGGTTATTTTCTTAATAAGTGTCTTCTCTTAATAAAAAATACGAAAAATAAAAAATCAAGTTTGTTTAATTACATTTATATCCCAATGCAGTCAAAAATGTTTGGTTGTCTGGATGGACATTCTTTTTGCACAGGACCCCAGTGCCTTCCCCTCGGAAGCGGAAATATGAAGATGATGAACGGCAGACCATACCAAATGTATTGCAAGGAGAGGTTGCAAGACTAAATCCGAAGTTCTTAGTGAACCTTGATCCCTCCCATTGCAGCAACAATGGCACAGTCCATCTCATATGCAAACTTGGTAAGCTTTGGGGGTGAGGAAGTGCTGGGGGGTCTTACTGTCGGAATGCTAATAGACACCCAGCAGTTGCACCAGTGCAGGTCAAATGGGACTTGGAAACAGTTGTTAGGAAATAAGCGTGGGTACTTCTGACTGATGTACAAAAATAGCCTTCAGGTGTTTTTTTTCAAGATTCCCCAAATAACGGGAAGATTTTATGATGGCTCCTTTATTAATTTTATACCCTCCTATTTTGTGTGTTTTTACAGTTTATGTGTAATTATTTTTATGTATTTTTTTTAATTGTTGTACGCCGCCCAGAGTCACCTTGTGTGAGATAGGCGGCTATATAAATATGATTAATAAATAAATAATAAATAATGCAAATTGCGTGTCTGGTTCCAGATGACAAGAATCTTCCAAACGTTCCACCACTACAGCTCAGTGTGCCGGCTGATTATCCAGACCAGAGCCCCCTGTGGATTGATAATCCTCAGCAATATGGTATGAAATTGGGGAGGCCAACATTGGGTTGGGCTGATTTTCTTCTGTGCTAAATTGTGCAGATCCTACATGTTCTACCCTAAACTAGTGGGAAAGAAAAATACTGAAATTACATCCTTGAGCAAGATACCTTTTAGAATCAGTATAATGACAGATAATGAAGCAGTAAGTTATACGTTAAGCAATGAGATCGCTCCCACAAATAATTTTTAAAAAAGGAAGCGATAAGGGAAGGAACAGCTACAGTCTTCATTATTCAGGAGCCACTGTGCATTTGTGCATAGCCCATTGTTCATATTCTTGTGCCATCTTCTCCTTTCCAGAAGCAAACCCCTTCCTGCAGTCTGTGTATCGCTACATGATGTCCAAGTTGTTGCAGCTCCCAGACAAGCACTCGGTCACCGCCCTCCTCAACACCTGGGCCCAGAGCATCCGGCAGGCCTGCTTGTCTGCCGCTTGACAGCCTGGCCCTCGCCAGCTGGGTGCGGAAGCAAGAGCATCTGGGGTTTGGTGGGTTAGGAGTTGGGTCTTCCTCGGGTGCCGGAGGCGACCTTTAGTGCTTGCACTGCTTCTGCCTTCGTAGGCTAGCCAGTCGCTTGACGCCAGCTTCCAGGGGAGATTTAAAGATGTCTTCTTAGAGAAGAGCTTGTGGAAAACAAACCTGGTCATGGGAGTCTCCCCAGCAGAAAAACGGGCAGCCTGTTCAACGCCAACACGTGCCCTCAATCGGCAGGACAAACTGCGCTTTGCTTCTCACGAGTCATAAGGCAGCCGGCTGACGTGGCTCTACCAGGCGGTCGGGACGGGATCGGAGGGTTTGAGGCAGAGTCTCCCACTTTCGGTGCTCAACGGTTGATGTTTCCAGAATTTCAGTTTCAGAAATCTGGCTGGACACAGCTTTTCCACCTTTGCAGAGTTTCTTAATATTGGCTTGCAATGAAGACCGTCCTGGTTGCTGGCGTATCTGTAAATCTCAGAGTACTATGTCATTTTGAAGGTTTTCAAATAATTACTTTGTAAGATGCTGATTAATTGTAGTACAACAGTTGCAGCATTTCACTCATGAATCATTGCATTTGTTTTATTGTAATAAATCTATTGTTACAGTGTTTAACACCCAGCTTTTTTTGGCCAACCCACTTTCACATTTTCACAAATTTTCTGATTGATCTAAGCAGGCTTGTGTGTATTTTGCATCCAACCGTGGCACTAAAGAAGTAGTAAACCTCCGCTATTGAAGACAAACCAGTCCTAGCAATTAAGCACTATGAATTGTGGTTTTCTGTAGTGTAGTGAACGTAAAAGCTGGCATACGTACAAAGTCTAACAAAAATGGGAAAACTGCAGAGGAAAGATCTAGGATATAGTGTGAGTTGCTCTGTGAAGGGGAGGTCGAAAGGATCGCTGCTTGGACAGGAGGCCCCGTGGAGGAGAACGAGCTGCGCGGGCCGCCTGGGCTACAGCGCGGTCCGGTGGAGCCTGTTCCTCTGAATGGCTTGCGCCCTCTTCTGCCTCTCAGCAAAGGCGTTCCCCAGCGTCTGCTTCAGGGCTGGCAGCACGGCTCTTTCGGCAGCAGGCAGCGGGGTCAGAATCCTGCTGGAAAACAAAGCGGGCGTGTCAGTGGCAGGAGAGGAGACTTCAAGGAGGCCCCCCTCGTAAGACCCGTTTTCAAGCAGAAGCCACTGTTCTCTTGTTACACCCAACTGAGGGAATGTAGTCAAGACATTTTTATTGACGCTAGATCAAGAATTTGATGTCAGAACTCACATGCTTTAGAATATTTTGATTTGACCAGGAAAGAGACTTGGCGAAAAGCTACTTTCAGCTGTGCGACCCAAACGTACACCTGCACAGAGACACACGTTTCCAAACAAGCAACCCGGCCCTGTTTCAAGTTTTCTCTGTTAGTTTAAGGTCTGGTGTCCAAATTAATCCTCCTAAGAGGGTTAGGGTCTACATCTGCCCAGATGTAGACCAAAGAGGTTTGCAAGGTCTTCTATGGTCTTAATTGGCTTAGTTTGTTTAGTATTTTTCTATAAGCAAAGATCAGAAGTTAGAAATATTTCTATTGCTGAACTGAGGTATTGTTGGGTATCATGCAGTGGAGAATTTTAATTTCATGATGCTAATAAAGTGGCAGGATTACGAGGGGGCCGTGTAAGGCCAGGAAGCCCACTTACCATTTCTTGGGGGCGTTCCTCACTCTGGGCAACTTGGTGCTCTCCTGGGTCCTAAACGAAAGGGTGTGGATTAGACCCCAAAGGGCTTTGACCTAGGAACCTTGCCAGAGAGAAAGTCTCGCTCCTTTGCAGCTCCAGAGAGTTCCATCCACCCAGCTGAACACGCCCACAGGTAATGGGGGGCACACAATAGCTCCCGTGGACTGTGGCTCCTGTTCAAAGAGGCACCGAAAAGGACGCAAGAGACCAAGCGGCTAGAGGCGCAGGGGGTGTTCTTCCCTGAACCCCTGGCTTCATAACCACCGAATCAGTCCTCTTAAGCCAAGAATCACTGCATGCACTTTGCAAAGAAAAGTCAGTGCACTGTGCACATGCCCTGCCCTGAACCTGGTATCAAATTGGGCAGAGCCCAATATTTTGCCTTTTCATGCTGATATCGCCAAACAACATAAGACTCCCAGGAAGGAAAACAATTCGGTGGCATTATTATGTCGGGGATCTGTGGAAATCGCAGTGAGAGCCAGCACGGTCCGGTGGGGGAGGTGCCGGACTAGCAGCAGGGAGACCCAGGCTCCAGGCCATCTTCAACCACCGAAGTTCGGGGGTGTCTCCAGGTCACTCACCTTCCACACAAGAGCTAGGCGGGACAGTGGTGACAATGCTGGACTAGGAGGGGGGATCCAACCTCTAGCCTCCCCTCAGCCACAAACTTGGGCCAGGCTCTCCCTCCCAGCCCAAGAGCGAGTCCCGTACTAGGAGCAGGGAGGGTTAAATTTGCTGGAACGTAAATAAATGCTTTACTCAATCAGGTCGTTTCTGTGAGACTTATGAAGCAAAGCAGAGTCAGTTACAAGACAAGTAGACATTGCTTCTAACTGTCCCCCTCTTGCTTGAGCAGATGAGATCCCATTTTCTGCAGTGCCACATTCAGGACCTTGGAGAAAATCCTGGAGATTCAGAGACCACAGGGGCCTCCTAGTTAGGACCTGAGAGAGAGAGTGTATGTGTGTGTGAGGGAAAATGAATATTTTCTAAACTTTGAGGGGATATCCTTTTAATCAGCCATCTCAACGAGGGGAAAGTTGCACAAAGCTGAGACTCTGGATTCTCCCTCGGCTCCAGAAAAAGAGGTTCCCAGACACACCTGCTGATGTTGCAACCTTTACCTCTGAAGCTTACCCAAGTTGACCAGCTAGCATGTAATCTTCAGGAATTCTTTTGGTCTTGTGTATATCATCCAGACATGATCTCAAATACATCAGCTGCAGGAAGAGAGGAGAAAATGCTTTCAGGGGCTCCTCCCCGAGTCCCAGCCCACCGCGTCAGCGCCTACAAGTGTGGGCCTCACCTCTTGCATCTGCATGTGGTTAATATTCCACAGCTGGCGAATCACCACCTCGCACTCCTCCAGGCTCGGGGGCTTCCGCATGCAGGAGGGAAGCACATTCACCAAAAAGGGGTTGGAAGACGCAGCAGGGATTTTCACCTCTCCGGTCCTGCTCTGGCTCGACGGGGGATAAGGAATCGGCGACGTCGTTCTGTCGCAGACTGCCGTATCTCTGTAATGACAGGCAGGGCAGGATTAACACTGGAAAGCACTGACTGTAGACCAAACAAGGTTCTCAAAGTCTCGGACTCATACAAATACACATCTTAAAAGAAGCACTCCCCACAGTCGCTTTCTTCCCTTCCTCACAAAAAAGCTCAAGTCATCACAAATGTGGATGAAGGAACAATAATGTGTGTTAAACTACAGAAACTAAAGGTTAATAAAATTTCCACAGCGTGAAAAACAGGACCTGGAATTAATACAATTATTTTCCAGCTCTTATGTATCACCAGAAGAGAGGACTTAAATAAGATTAAATCTAAGCAGATTTAGATAAGAACCAACAAAAACACCTCTAGAATGGAAACCCTAATCCCACGCACAAACCCAGAACTCATTTAATAATTTAAAATATGAATACAATATGTAAAGAGATCTCTGGATCTCAATAGATGTTGGACATTAAACCCGGGGCAACTTTAATGCTCTTAGAATGAATGTGTTCCTTAGAACATTTGGCATGCAATTCCTGCACGTATATCTGCAAAATACCTTCAAATTTAAATTCAAACATTTAATACAGGTAGTCAACTTACAACCATTTGTTTAATGACCATGCAGTTATGACAGCATTGAAAAAAGTGACTTACGCCTGGTCCTTGCACTTATGGCCATCACAGCATCCCTGTGGTCACATGATCAAAATTCAGACACTTGGCAACCAGCATGTACTTACAATGGTTACAGCATCCCATCGCCATGTGTGACCTTCCCAGGGGCTTCCAACAAGCAAAATAAATGGGGGAAACCGGATTTGCTCAACAACCATGGCAAAAAAGGTAGAAAAGTCAGGCGGGACTCACTTAATGACCACATTGCTTAGTGACAGAAGTGCTGGTCTCAATTGTGGTTGTCAGTCAAGGACTATCTGTATGATGTTTCCTAAATTCCTGTGGGAAACTTCAGTTCCAATGATATCTTTTTAAAATATGCATCTATTAGATGTTTCTAAACCTTGCCGATTAGATTTTTTTCAAATCTGGAACTATGTCATGTTATATATTAGTTGGCTATATCTGTTGGCTAGGGCTAAATTTGGGACAAATCTGCTTAGTGGAAATTTTCCTTCTTGGACTCCTCCAGAGGATTCATATATTACATGTTAACTGGATTGTCTTGGGTTCAAAATGTAACCGATTTCAAATGTCCTCTTTGTCAGATTCAGCCGGCACGGCGAAGGCACCGCTCAGCATCGCCTAAGTCAATTTCGCCGCCCAGGCACGAGCGGAGAAAAAGGGGAAGTGGAACCACCAGCGGACGCTCTGCTGATTGGCAACAGGTGGCGGCGCTTAACTCAAAACCGCAAGCGGATACTTTGTATCAGCGCCGGCTCCCCTCGGGCGCTGCAGACAAGGGGAAGTGCAGAGGCTCAGAAGCGAATCAGAAAGACAAAAGCACCGGACTGAATCTGCCATTGGGCGAGGGGGGATTGCTGCGGGTAATCGGTAACTGAGCAACGGGGCAAAACGAGGGAACGGGGAAGGTATAAAATACATTGTAAGATGT